GACCTTCAGCAGAGCGCATGCAGTGGACAGTTAACAAGACGAGGAAGTAGGAGGTGGAGACGATCGAGATGGGGATGAGCAACATGAGGACACAGCAGCTGCACATCCGAGTTTCATACAAGGACGTGTCCGCACAGGCCAGTTTGAGAACCGCTGGGATCTCACAGAAAAAATGGTCGATACTGCAGGAGCCACAGTCAGGGACAGTCATGGTGATGGGAGTGAGCAGAAAGCCAGAGAGGGAGCCACCAAACAGGGCACGAGCAGCCAGCAAGAGACACATCTTGAGGTCCATCAGGACTGGGTATCTCAGAGGGTTACAGACAGCCACACAGCGGTCATAGGCCATGAGGCCCAGTAGGAAGAACTCAGACCAATCATGGTCACGTAGCAGAAGATCTGGATGCCACAGGCCACAAAGGAAATGGTTCTCTAGGAACCACGTCCACCAGGAGCTCTGGGGCAGTGGTGCCGATGAAAAGGGTGTCCATGAGGGGCAGCTGGCCGAGCAGAAAGCCCATGGGGTGTGGAGGCGACAGTCCACCCGAACCAAGAATATCATGACCAAATTTGCAGTTACAGCCACTGCGAAAACAGCCAAGATCACTGTGAATACGATTCTCGTAGCCTCACCCTCCACCAGAAGCCCCGGGAGGGTGAAGTCAGAGGATGACGTGTTCGTCATTGATGTGGCCCCACGAGCGTCCCAGGGCAGCGGGAAGACAAGGCCCAGGGAGGAGGCAAGAACACGTTCAAGATGGGAAAGGTCTGCAGTGGAGGTGACGCTTCCGAGGGTACCGTCAGGATGAAGCTTCAGGGTAGAGGCTAGAAAAGAACAAGCAGACCGACATGCGCATCATAAAGCAGAAACCGTGGCTGCCTTTCCCGGTCAGAACTGCTGCTTCTGTGTTGTCTGTGTTCATCGTGCTGCTGGAGGTTATGGTAACCGCATGATACTATTGCTGTGTGCTACACCGAGAACAGGGTTTTAACCATGTCTGTTCTGTCCTTGCTGCATTTCTCGTATCCAGAACGTTATCTAACCCTTAGTAGGGTTAAGTAAATACTAGTTGGAAAAGCAGGATGCTTGATTCATTGATTGGCAAAATGGATAAAGGGGAGTGAAGTAAATCACTGAGGAAACGAAAGGTTAGGATAACTTTTGGGGCTTCGTGAATAAAACGTTCCCTATGTTTTATTATTTGTATAAGTTTAAGGACGAGTGCAGTGTCATGACATGGATATGTTGCATAGTGGAGTCTTGTCCTTCAGTGTAATCGTAATTCAAATAGCGTAGGTTGTGCTCATATTCATTCCTCACCCTTCGGTCCCCTTTCACCCCCTACTCTTCCAAGTCTTCGATGCCTATATTATGCCACTGTATGTCTAAAAGTTGGGACTCCTCCCTGTTCTTTATGCTGTTTTGCTAACCTTTTTGCAGATCTTTCTTCAGATAAGTTAGAGGGTGAAGAAAACTATTTGCAAAAACTCCAGATTTTTAAAAAGCAGTTTATGACATGAAATGAAATCAAATTTTATGAAATGAAATGAAATGAAATTTTATGAAACAAAACGCAATGAAATTTTATGAAATGAAATGAAATGAAATTTTATGAAATGAAATGAAAGGAATTTCATGAAATTTCATAAAATGAAATGAAATTTCATGAAATTTCATGAAATGAAATGAAATTTCATGAAATTAAATGGAATGAAATGTAATTTCATGAAATTAAATGGAATGAAATGTAATTTCATGAAATGAATTTTCATGAATGAAATGTAATTTCATGAAATGAATTTTCATGAACGAAATGTAATTTCATGAAATGAAATGAAATGAAGTGATTTCATTGAGTTCAATTGAAATGAAATGATTTCATTGAGATGAAATGAAATGAAATGATTTCATTGAGAAGAAATGAAATGAAATGATTTCATTCAGAGGAAATGTAATGAAATGATTTCATTGAGAGGAAATGTAATGAAATGATTTCATTGAGATGAAATGAAATGATTTCACAGAAATGAAATGATTTCCCTGAAATGAAATGAAATGATTTCCCTGAAATGAAATGAGATGATTTCCCTGAAATGAAATGAGATGATTTCCCTGAAATGAAATGATTTCCCTGAAATGAAATGATTTCGCTGAAATGAAATGATTTCCCTGAAATGGAATGGTTTCCCTGAAATGGAACAATTTCCCGGAAATGATTTCCCTGAAATGATTTCCCTGAAATGAAAAGAAATGAAATGAAATGATTTCATTGAAATGAAATGAAATGAAATGATTTCATTGAAATGAAATGAAACGAAATGAAATGATTTCATTGAAATGAAATGAAATGATTTCATTGAAATGAAATGAAATGATTTCATTGAAATGAAATGAAATGAAATGATTTCATTGAAATGAAATGAAATGACATGAAATGAAATGAAACTTTATGAAATGAAATGAAATGAAATTTTATGAAATGAAATGAAATGAAATTTTATGAAATGAAATGAAGTAAAATTTTATGAAAAGAAATGAAATTTTATAAAATGAAATGAAATGAAATTTTATGAAATGAAATGAAATTTTATGAAATGAAATGAAAAGAAATTTTATGTAATTTTATGAAATGAAATGAAATTTTATGAAATGAAATGAAATGGAATTTTATGAAATTTTATGAAATGAAAAATGAAATGAAATTTTATGAAATGAAATGAAATGAAATTTTATGAAATGAAATGAAATGGAATTTTATGAAATTTCATGAAATGAAATGAAATGGAATTTTATGAAATTTCATGAAATGAAATGAAATGGAATTTTATGAAATCAAATGAAAAGAAATTTTATGAAATTTTATGAAACGAAATAAAATGAAATGAAATTTTATGAAATGAAATGTAATGAAATGGAATTTTATGAAATTCTATGAAATGAAATGAAATGAAATTTTGTGAAATGAAATGAAATGAAATGGAATATTATGAAATTTTATGAAATGAAATGAAGTGAAATTTTATGAAATGAAATTTTATGGAATGAAATTTTATGAAATGAAATGAAATTTTTTGAAATGAACTGAAATGAAATGAAATGAAACTTTATGAAATGAAATAAAATTTTATGAAATGAAATGAAATTTTATTAAATGAAATGAAATGTAATTTTATGAAATTTTATGAAATGAAATGAAATTTTATGAAATGAAATGAAATGAAATGGAATTTTATGAAATGAAATGAAATGAAATTTTGTGAAATGAAATGAAATGGAATTTTATGAAATTTTATGAAATGAATTGAAATGAAATGAAATTTTATGAAATGAAATGAAATTTTTGGAAATGAATTGAAATGAAATGAAACTTTATGAAATGAAATAAAATTTTATGAAATGAAATGAAATTTTATAAAATGAAATGAAATGAAATGAAACGAAATTTTATGAAATGAAATGAAATCTTATGAAATGAATTGAAATGAAATGAAATGAAACTTTATGAAATGAAATGAAATGAAATGAAATTTTATCAATTGAAATGAATTGAAATGAAATGAAATTTTCTGAAATGAAATTTTATGAAATGAAATGAAATGGAATTTTATGAAATGAAATGAAATTTTATAAAATTTTATGAAGTGAATTGAAATGAAATGAAATTTTATGAAATGAAATAAAATGAAATGAAATGAATTTTATGAAATGAAATGAAATTTTATGAAATGAAATGAAATGAAATGAAATTTTATGAAATGAAATGAAATGAAATTTTATGAAATGAAATGACATGACATGAAATGAAATGAAATGAAATTTTATGAAATGAAATGAAATGAAATTTTATGAAATGAAATTTTATGGAATAAATTGAAATGAAATGAAATTTTAAGAAATGAAATGAATTGCAATGAAATGAAATGAAATTTTATCAAATGAAGTGAA